AGAAAACAAACCCAGAAGAACTGGTGGAATATGCAAGCCCATCAAAATAAAACTACAGGAAACAAGAGATAAAAGAAAAAAAATCTTAAAGGAACAAAGTCACCTTCAAAGATAACAAGAGTAATAACATAAGCCAGAAGTAAATGAATTATTGAGTGTATGAGGAAAAAAAGCTAAAATGGTTTCAGAATGCTGAGTATTCGTTGACTATTTCTGAAAGAAAACAATCAATTTTTGCACCCCTCACACTGCTGAGGAAAAACAGTACATGAAGAAGCATTGGGGGATACTGGGTATGTTTTATCTTGAGTGTAGTAAAGGTTTCATGAGCTTATACTAAATGTTTGTAACTTATTGTATGTTAACTTCACCTCTATAAACCTATTTTAAAAAGAAAACATGGTATGAATAAATTAGTACTTAAGAGCAAAATCTATAGACCTGGTGATACAGCTTACTAATACAGCTTAGCTTGAGTGAGACCCTGAGTTCAAATCCCAATAACACACACACACACACACAAAATTATAATCTTAAAATTACATGTCAAGAATATTTCTCAGGTTCTGAATTGGTCACTGCCCAGAACATGAAGGCCAGAGAGAGCAAAGATTTGTTTTGTTTTAGAGAATGGCAGTAGGGTGGTAAATGGCTGAAGAAAAAGACAACAAGCTTGACTTCTAAGTTAGAACTTGGAGTTAAGGTGAAAATGAGAAGACTGCTCAGTTTCTGAGGCTGTAATATTGCTTATAAATGCAAATACTGAGGGCTGAACTTAAGGCTGGAGATGAAATCAGCATGTCTGGAGTCCAGACTGCATTTATTGTTTTAAATTGTATAAAAAAAAATGCCTGGTGTTTTCTTCAGTTTGTGCGGAAGATCAGAAAGTAATGAAACATTTGCCCATTAAAACAATAAACTCCTAAAAGAGAAGTGCCCTGTGAATCATTCCTGATAAACAGAAGTAGTGACAATTGCTCTAGCATAAGAACATCTCTGAGGTAAACTACAGTGAGACCAGGCTGAGAAAAGCTGGAAAAGCTACCACCATTCCCCTGGGTATTTTAAGACATTTCACAAACAATCTTTATTCAACATTGCACTACAGTTCTGTAGTAGTTCCAAACTGGAACTACTCAATAGCTATTTGGTGAAAGCACGAGCCAAGAGAGAGAGAACAAACAGCATAATGAAAGATGAAGCCCTCTAGTAGGTATTCAATAATGGGGTCTTCATTACCCATGTATCCAATTATCCCAGCCCACTAAGTTGCAAAAGTCATAATAAGAAATATTCACTGACAAACCAGCCTTATAAAATTAGTAATGGCTCAAATATTTCTCTATGTTCAATACCAGTTATCTCTGCCTACTATGGTAATCCCTTCGTCAGACTTTCAGTGAATGTTGATGTTATAAATATTAGACAATGAAAGATAAAAATGAACAACTTGACATAGCAATTTTTGCAAAAGATAGAAAACTTTCTGAAGTTGACAAAAGGGGTGGCAGAGAACCATTTAAATCACATGCAGAGCCACTTAGGATCTGAAAATATGGCAGTGAGAACTTTTAGAATGAAGATGAGAAAATAACCCAGCAATGATGCACATTCAGAGCTTCTAAATGCAATGTGAACATCAGAGGTCTAAGACAAACTCATCCAAGATCTAATAATGGCGTCAATAATTTTTTTGGGGGGGGTTCTCTTTATACTCAAACTATAGAAGTCAAAGGGATTTTATCATGCAGTCATATTTTACAAGAAAAGCAATACCAAAATAAAGCTCATGTGACTCATTCCTTGTTCTAAATATCAGTGAATAGCTGCAATATAATTGAAATATTGTTAAAGAAAAATTTAAACATCTTCATAATTTTTAGTTTTATTTTTCAAGATAGGTCTCAGTCAAAAATTTTCTTTCTCATTACAATAAAAGTTTGGTACTGATTTTAGGTAGATACACATTAAATGGTCTTTTATCCTCAGTTGACTGAGTCTTCATGGCACTTACTGAACAGATTTTTTTTTTGCCCATTTACCCGGCAACACTGTTAGTTCATTAGCACCAGGAGGTTTACCACAAGGGCATCTCTCAAAATATGTCAGTCAGCAAAGGCAGGCTACAATTACAGCAGGACAAACCTACTAGTGATGGAGCAGTTAAATACAAAAACCTAACTGACTACACATTGTGTGTATCATTCTCATATGTCCTCATGCATCCTACCCCTTGTTGGATATCTCCCTAAGGTAGTCCTGAAATAAGAGCCTGAATTTAAGATGGAAAAAATATAGTTAGTTCCTTGGTGAAATCACTGAACTAAATGAACTAAAACTTTGGAAATATGAGCCTTCTTGTTGTATGAAATATTAACTTGTTTTTGTTTTATACTCATTTTTTTTTTTGCTGTTATTTGCAACTAAAAACATCCTCACTTACTGTATAACATGAAATGTATGTGTGCATATCTATAATCCTTTTGGAGGTACAAAAGCATTAAAGAAAATAGTAACTTAGCTGTATATACAAAACAAATATATTTGAAATGATAAAGACTACTATTAAATGAAGACTGCTTTTTAGAAATATTATAAGAGTTTTAAGAAGAATATGCTTAAAGTAATCATGAAAAATAAGGCATTTAAGAATACCTCATGAGAACACCTGAGTTGAAACATTCAAGAATTAAAAGGGATCTTAGAACTTTCTGGGCAAAAAAAAGAAAGAAATTATTAAATATAACCTTGAGGATTTGAACTAAGAAGAAACACACAAACAAAACAAGAAACTATAAAAACAAAATAATGCTGCCATTGGCGAAATTATTACAATGGAATGGAAGGTGGTATAGGCACTACAGTGAATTTCTTAAAACAACTAAGGGTGCCAAGGATGAGACTATAAAGAAATAGTTAGAGGTACGGGACCCAGATTCTAGGCCTGGGAGAAGGAGCTGGGAGAGAATGAGAAATTACAAAGCTACTAAAAAAGAAAATAACTCAGAACAGCACAGGGTACAAGAGTGAGTGAATGCAAGAAGAAAAGATAAAGGTCATCTTTCCTGTGAGCACCTGACATCTATTTCTAGGCCAGGGAACATGAGCTTCCTTACTGCAGACATGAAGGCTCCAAGTAAGGAGTCCTGGAAGCATCTCAGCTTCACATCTACAGACTGTTCTGAGTTTGAAAAACATTGTCACATACATTCACTCATTTTATTTCCACCACAATCCTTCAGCCAGGAAAGAAATGTTAATTACTCCCATTTCATGAGGAAATGAAAGTCCTGATTCAGCACCCTATTTTAAATAACACGATAAACTGAAAAGTTTAGTAAATACTTTTTTCAAAGTCACAGAAATTCACTTACTCTCAAAACCTATCTTTTAAAAGAAAATCTATTTCTGTCATAACTTGTAACACATGTACTTTCTATCTATTACAAAAATGGCTCTAACCAAAAACTCCATCATTCCTGTTGGCAGCTGAAAATTATGACTCCTGAGGGACCAAACAAAAATCATGATTGCAGCATATTTACAGTTCAACTAAATGGTAAGATTTTCCTTCTTTATAACTTTTAATTAAAACTAAATCATGACTTTGTAGGTGTTGGGAGAGCATTAAGTCCCATTCTTCATGTGTTTCTCAGGGTGAGGAAGAAATTTCTCCAGGTGTGAAAAGCAGGAAACACACACTTAGCTTTTATCCTCTACTTACAGCTCACCAGGAAAGAAGCAACACCTCAGCCAACTACGAGCCAGGAGTCAGGCTCACCTAGCTCAGCCCTTTCTTCTCTTTCCAGAGCCAGCTGGTTTATAGGACTTGCTCCTCCATGTCCTATGTTATAGAGGCAGCCTCTGCCTCTGCGGGGGAGGCCGCCAGTTATCCAAGGACAGAATGTTTCTCTAATTCATAAGTGAAATATTAAAAGTCCACTTGGCCATAGATCTAAAACTATGTTCTGTCATGAATTTTCTCAGAAGTAAAGTTGATGTTCTGATTTCCATTTCTCATTTGTTTCACTTCTCAATTGGCTACAAGCAAGGAGAATGGGTAAAAATAAAAACAAACCACACAGAGAAAGAACTCTTTCTTTTTTCTCCCCAGGCTCACTATTTTTGAAGGTTCCTATGTTAAGAATCCACACATGTAGTTGTTAAGATGGTTTTGTCACATCAAACAAACAGCACTAATTCTCTATATTCTCTATAACACAGCATCAACACAATCACCCAGCTAAGAAAAGACCAAAACACTGAAAATCTAGGGAAGAAACAAATATGGGAGGCAAAACAAAAAACAAAAAAAGCAACCAAGTAAATAGCATTTGCCTCTAAAAACAAGATTAGATTTTGAAGCAACCTCTACTTAAATTAGATGAACTCTAATCATCTAATCTAAGGATTATTCTAGAATTAAATTTTTTACTTATAGCTAAAATTCTGTCTGCAATCTGCATGTATGGTTTGGTATCTTTAGCAGTTAAAGCAAAGAGCAGCTACAGAAACAAGCAAATGAATACACATGAGCTTCTTATTCTTCATCTGTAAAAATGAAGATCTGAACCTCTACTGCTCAGTTTTTGCAAGGACTGAATCAGGTAACGTCCATGAAAAGTATTTTCAAAGCCCCCGACAACATTTTAGTTTTGTCTTTTTCTATGGCCTCCAGCAGATGGCAATGCTGCATCAGTAGGTCAAGAGTTAGGCAAGCTGCACCTGGGAAAATCTGACTTTCATTTAATTGCTAAAGAGTAATGTGTAAAAAATTAAATTACAGGTATTTTTCTGCCATCTCATAAGCTAAAGGGTAAAACTTCAGATATCTAAAAGAAGATGGAATAATTACACATTCTGTAAGTCCTAAAGGTGCTCTTACTTTTCACTTAAAAATCCTAGTTCATTTTAATTAAGAATGTGAATAATCCTGTGGAAAGAACATTGTACAAGGTAAGATACATGCTGAGAACCAACAAATATTTTTGAATATTTACCTCTGACCCCAAACTGAGAGACAGGATCTCATCCTCAAAGGCAGAATGTGTGTCAATATGTGCAGGGATTCCTGAGGTGTAAACAGCATGACAGGTCACTTCACTTTTCCTTTTAGAATTGGACTAAGTAGATTTAAATACACACAGCCTCACACAATTATGGCAAAAACATTGTTTGGCTATTAAAAATGTACTATAATTTTAGTTAAAAGGAAAAACTTAAAAGTAAATGTGACTAAACAAAATTAAACCAAATCTAAATGAGAAATATCTTTGAGTTAGAGTTGAGACTTGACTCTAAAACCAAGGCTTGAAATCATTGCTTAAGTAGGACACTCATCCAATCCCAACTCAGGAGGAAGGTGTGTAAGATGAGTTTGTTTGTTTGTTTTCTTTGAGCATCAGATTCCCAAGGACTTGGAGAGCAAAGGCCACGTGTGAAGACTAAGTAGATCAATAATTAAGATACGGCTTCCTCCACTGATCTATTCATTTGTTAATTGAATACCTTTTGGCAAAAAAAAAAAAAAAACTTTGATACATGATGAGGTGATGTGAAGCAAGTAGGTCCCTCCTCAAGGAGTTTATAGACAGGTGGAAAAACAGGTAAATAAGCAATTGAAATACATGATGATGCCAGGCATAGCAGGACATGACTGTAATCTCAGCACTCGGGAGGCTAAGACATGAGGATCCTCAGTTTGAGGCCAGCCAGGGTTATACAGTGAGACCCTGTCTTGAACCAAAGGCAGGAGAAGAAGAAAAAAAAAAAAAACCTCTACAACTACTGCCATTAACAAAGCTTTCTCAAATAGAGGAAGAAGAAAAAGATTATTCAACCAATTAGCCTTCTTCCCTTCAGTAAATATTTGGTTCTTTGATTATACATTATCTCATATTTTTCAAACATTCACCTCCCTCTCTAAATCAAACTTGGACAAAACAACAAAAATCACAAACAACAATTTGTGTCAGTTTGTTTATACTTCATGATGAAAGTTCCTAAAGGGACTGAGACATAGATTTGCAAGGGATTAAAACAAATATAAGCAAAGTAATCTAAAACTTCATTTGAGCTTTAAAAAAAACCTTGACCCCAGTCCCACAAAAAAAAAAAAATAAGAAAATTTAAAAAATACCTTTGGTCTTAAAAAAGTTACATAACCTTAATTCAGAAATATACTACTGGAATTGTAAAGAAGAAGTATTTACCATGCCCAGGTTCATACTGATTCACAGTCAACTGATCAGGTTTATGTTTAATGTAACCTTCCTTCAGCCATTTCTCCAAAATGCTTTCACATACATCAGGAAGACCTAGTCAGTAATTAAAAAGGCAAAACATTAAAATATTTACTTTGCATATTTAGCTCAAGAATTTAAAAAAATCACTGTGATAGGAGTCTGACAGCTCTTAATATAGCAGTGAGATCATCAATATGAAATCAAGCAAAATAAAAACTTTGTAAGACTCTTTCAGTTATATCATTGATTTTAATAGATATAAAAGCCCAAAAGAATAATCTTACTAACAACAATTTTGACATTTTATAAAATAGTAATAAAACTCAATATATGTTAAGGAGTCCTTATTCAAAATATTTCAGATTTTGGATTTTTTCCAGATTTTGGAAGGTGTGCATATACACAGTAGAGATCTTAGACACAGAATCCAAGTTTAAGCACAAAATTCACCTGTTTCATACATACCTTATGTACATAGCCTAAAGGTAATTTTATATATTTTTACTGAGTTTGTGTTTTGGCTAGGACCCTTACATTAACTCAGATTGGAATTTTCTACTTCCGGCATCACATTAGTGCTCAGTTTCATATTTTGAAGAATTTTTTTTATTTTTAGACTCATGATGCTCAAACCATACATTACATGTAAGAAATTAATTTAACCACTTTCTTTTTTGTTATTTTAAAGTTTATTTTAAGTTTAATTATTTTAAATTATTACCCTTGGGGAAAAAACCCCACAACTTTAACGGAAGTCATAAGTGGAATTTCACAGTGGATGAAAGCCTTAAATTAAGAACAAGGTCATAAAAAATAAACTTAATCCTATACAGAATTATACCAAAGAATTATTATCCAGAATATAGAGTATATCAATCTCACAGATAACTCATTTTTTAAAACTGATATAGGATTTGAAAAAGAATTCATAGAAAAGGAAATGCAAATGGCCAACATCATTGTTAATCAAAAAATTACAAACTTAAAGATTGTACATCATATGTTGTTAGTAAGGGTGGGGAGGAAAGGGTGCACACTAGTGAGACAATGTTGGCACAGCCGTTTTAGGGAGCAATTTTTCTATCTATTGTACAGTAGGGTTTTGCTTTGTTTTGTTTTTGGTGGGACTGGAGTTTAAACTCAGGGCTTCACACTTGCAAAGCAGGCACTCTACAGCTTCAGCCACAACTCCAGCTCCAATCTGTATCTACTAACATTGTTAAATGAGCATAACCTATGACACAATTCCACATCCCTCTTAAGAAACTCTTACAGAGTACATAAAAAGACTTGTACAAAGATACTCACTGTAGTGCTACTTATAAATGCTAGAAACTAGAAATAACCTAAATGTCTAGCAATAGAGAACTATTTGATTAAGCTATTTTGGGGCATTCAATAAAGCCAAAAACTACATTAACTCTCCAGATACACTGTAGAGGAAAAAGAACATGTTGGAGTGATGCATATATGAGTATACAATGTATACTCTATAATACTGCATATGGCAAACTGTACTTTAATAGGTACATATATTTGGACATGAACTCATTTTGTACAGGAGTAGACTATATGCTAACCTGTTAACAGCACATCCTTCTAAGAAGAAAGAAGTGTGAGAGGACAGTGGTCAACAGTAACTACAGCTTTTAGCTTTATTTGTATGTGTGAATTTTTTTTTATAGTATCATACCTCTTACCTGTTTAAAATGCTTTCAATTTAATCAACTGCCTCAAAAGTTTACCTACAAATGACAGAAGAAACATACAACCTCAACTTTGATAGACTTCTAACATATCACATCTTTTTTTTTTTCTCAAACCAGCATTTACTGTGCATTAACAATTACTTACCCCCAGGTAATGGCTTTTCCTTATCTACATTGTTGTTCTCATAGTGGAATTCATAACCAAAATGTCTTACCCTTCTGTGTTTTAAAGATTTTTGAACTGTACAAAGAGAAGAAAGTAAGTTATTTCAGAGAAAAAGCAATATATGATCCTTCATATATTTCAGCCAACACTATTTGTAAGGATTAATTTAGTAATGGTTAACTTCTGTTAACTGCTAAATTATTCTCTTTAATGACATTAACCATTCTGCTGTATCTGCTGTTCCTTCATGTCTAAAATTGTAACAAAACACTTAAAAGAGCTTCACCTAATCAATGTGATAACTACATTGCCACTCTGGAGACTGCAAGTGATGTGGAAAGCTACTCTAATTTATACAAAACTCCAGGCAGCTCTGGCTACATTACATGTCCTGTACTGCTGATGTCTCATTGGAAACCAACCGTACAGTGAAGAGAAAATAGGATAACAATGAAAGAGCTTAAAAAAGTTAGCTACAACAGTGTTATCTGATAACTATTCATCAGTTTGGAGTTGAAAATTGATAGCCATATAAATGTTATCTGTTATTAGTGTTTCTAAGTGCTACTGTATGTTAGTAGATCCAAGCTACTTTCAGTGAAATTATAACATTCAGTGTGTGGGGGTGGGAGGAAGGAGGAGCAGTAACAAGACATTTTGCAGGAACTTTTAAATATAAATATCAGCTTTCAAATTTTTACTTACAATTTTTATTGTCTTTATCTTCTGTCCAATTAATACTTTCCAAAAGCATTTTCTCTTCCTCAGAAGAAACTATTTCTTCTATGACCACAAGGCCTGGAGGTAAGGCTTGAAGCCTCAACTCTTTCCACTGTGCTATGGGAAACAAAATTAAATCATCACCTATAAAACGGTTCTACCCAATAGCTTTTTATAGTTCATAAAGCTCCCAGTCCTCATTTTCAGAAATAAGAATGTAGAGAGGCAAACAACATACTGAAAATGTGAAACCAAGGAGCGAGATCAAAATTATCTTCTACCTACAGAAATTCCCTCCAGCAAATCAAACAGTAACTTTCCTGTCTGAACTTGATTGACTTACATTTTAAACCTCACTAAAAGTCAAGGTTTCTCATAATATTCATAGTATGCAGCTCCATTTTTAAAAATTCAGGACTGTCCCTGAAAGAACATAGAATACAAGAATTTAAATGCCAATTTTTGCTCTTAAGCTCTTAATGGTAAGTATGGTCAAACAACAGAAAAGTGTAAAATAACATACAACTTTCTAAAGAAATTTTTTAAAATCATTTGTGAAAAATAACATTTTTGACATGAAAATATCAATGTCTCTCTGATTTTATGTACATTCTTTAAAAAAGTTTCTGTTTCCTTGAAAGCTTCAAGTTAAGTACCCAAGGAAAGGAGAGGAATTTTCTGCCAGATAAAGGGAAGATGTATTTACATACTGTTAAGTCATTCATGTTACAGAAATGATTTCTGAAGAGTCTCATCCAGCAATCCCCATCTTTCAATTAATATAAAAATTCACAAAAATACTTAGCATCTACTAGATTCTATTCATATTTCAGAAATACAAGTAGTATTTATCACATAAATAATATTTATCATTTGATAAATATATACCGAGTGCCTGTCATGTGCCACATGTATTATTTATTCAAATTATATAAGGAAAATTTTGGAAAAAATTCCTTAACGATAGGTAGTTTATAGCCCAAGTAAGTCATTCTTAATTTCTTAAATAGGTTTTTTGAAAAAGAATTTAAAGTATCACTTGTATTTGCTACCAGTGGCTATCTGAAAGCAGACACCAAAACAAATATCAAAACATTCAAGACATGGGTCTACTCTGAATAAAAACACTTTCCAAAGTTAACAAAGGATTTCACACAAATAATATACCTAAACTCTTCAATTTGTTACTGAGATTCCCACATACTGAATACGCAGAGGAGGGGGAATCCAAGGACAGTATTTTCTGAATAAAATCATTCAGTTTTCAAAAAGTAATCAGAAGCAAATAAAAAGTGCAAGAATAATCTAGTTTTTAAAATCTGTGGCACTTAAGTCAAAATAAAGCTTTAAAATTAAACACATAGGGACACTGAGAAGTATAATTTTACACATATTTATATATATTTTTAAGACAGGGTCTCACTATGTAGCCCAAGCTGGTCCCTAACTCTAACTCTTGATCCTGCTGCCTCAGTTTCCCAAGTGCTGGGATTACAAGCATGGGACACCACACCCAGCTCCAAGTATATTTTTAAAAGAGTCTTTAAAAGTTTTCCTTTGAGTCTCTTTTTAGACTTTTTGTTTATTTTTTTAATTGAACAGGGTTTATTATGTTTCCATACATACATATAATGAACTCTGATTTTGTTCACTTCCTCTATTACTCTTTTTATCCCCTTTTTTTTTATTTGATCATGTTTCATTCACCTACCCATCATCAGGATACCTGAACAGAGCTGTATTATTGCCTAAATAAGCAGCAAGTGAATACACGATTAGATGTCTAAATCAAAGTTTATCTCCATATAACTTGTTTCCATGGGGAAGAGGTGAAAAGATGTAATAATCCCTATAGCAATTCTGTACATCAATCTGTAAAGCTATTCCTTCAATTATTCCATTACTCAGTCACATTATCCAGTAGCTGTTGTGCTGGACAGCACAGACATGAACATTTCCATCCCCACACAAAGGTCATGGGATAACACCACCACAAAGCTTTTGGGGTCTCTGGAAGCTAAAGGTGCTTCTCCATAAATACGAAGATTGACATGTAACCATCTGAGTTTGGGGCTGGTTTTTGTTTTGGTTTGGTTTTTGCATACTGGGGTTTGAACTCAGGGCCTCACGCTTACTAGGTAGTGTACTCCACTATCTCTGACACATAACCATTTGGGTCACAGTTAATTCTTAAGTGATTAACTCAAAGCTTCTGGGTAGACACTGTGAAATAAATTGATCTGAATCCTCGACATTAAACTTTGTAAAGCATGATTAGGTAGGAAGTTTCCAAATTAAGTAACAGGCATAATTAATACATTGTGTTTGATTGGTTAGAACTGCTGAAAGGCAGGCCATGACTTATTCACCTACGTACCTTAACTACTATGGGAGCTTAAAGAATATTTGATAAAGAGGGGTTGCTTTTATTTCACAATAATTGGACACCTCCCCAATTTATGTCTATGAAAAGAAAATTCACACTTTTGTGTGAAGAACCATTATTTAAAAGATAATTATAGAATACCTTTTTCCACAAAATTCAAGTACAGAATGATCTTCTGTCCTAAATCATCTGCTATTTCTTGTCCATTGAGGGTATCATAGGCTTTCCTGGATTCTTCTGCAGTTTTGTATCTTACAAAAGAGTAGGGCTTGTTGGGTGGCATTAAGAGAGCGTCCACAGATCCACACTGCTCTAACACGAGCAGCAGTCGCTTCCTACTCACACCATTACCCAGACCACCATTGGCAACAACCAGGTTCTTAAAAAAAGAAAGAAATATGAGCAATTGATATGTTTACTTAAAATAAGATTAAGTAATATTTTTAGAATAGTAATTCCACAAAGACATAGTTGAAAAGAAACAAGCTTTCCATATAGTGGTTATTTGGTTTGCTAATTTCATGCAAAGTCTATAAACCAATTTACTAAATATTTGGGGAACAAAAGTATTCCTATACTGTAAACATTTGTTTTTAAGTAGCTTATATCAGTAAAATATTCATTTCTTAATAATCATAAATGCAAATTAAAAGATGACTTTATTGTTCAAGAACATAAATTTAACATATTAAAAGTGAAGAATAGGAGAATGGAAAGAAACAGCAGTTACATAATGCTGGCTTTTTGCCAGAGAATGGGTTTCCACATTCTGTTATCTAGTTAATCCTCATTAACATAATCTTTACAAAAAGCAAATTTATATGGGTAACATGAGTCCCACTTTATAGAGGAAGAAACTGAAGATCAGAACAATTAGGTTAAGATGGTAATTAGGGAGAGCTAGGTTTCAAACCTATTTCTCCTAGTTTCCCAGAATCTATACTTTAATATAACCATTATACAATGTTTACTAAAAATAAACATATGAATTGAAAGGAACATCAATTACAGGTTCTACTGAACATAAAATATGAAAAATTTCCTGTCTAAGGAAATGAATTCAGTCTAAGTAATTTACTCAGTTTGCAATTAAAATTTTTTCCCTTGTAGACATTAAGTTTTACGCAACAGATTTGAGGTTGGGAGATATCTTTATTCCGATATTCACAGCTCAGTGTCCTTACAGCTACTATACTTAACATCCTACACCATTAAGATTGTTCATTTATGAGGGACTGGAGGTGTGGCTCAAGCAGTAGAGCACCAGCTTTGCAAGAATGAAACCTTGAGTTCAAACCTCAGTTCCTCCAAAAAAAAAAAAACCTCAAAAAACCAAAAGATTGTTCATTTATGACCTATGACTTCTAAAAATGTTTTAGTGGATCACTAGTAAACCATGGAACCCTGCTTTCATCAAGTTCGTCAATTATACCAGTAATTGGCAAAGCTCTGCAGACCCAGATAAAAATTTTAAGGCTTCACAGGCCATGTAAATTTCTGTAACACAGACTTAGTTTTACTTTAAAATGTAAAATCCATTCTTAGTTCACAGGTCAGATTCATTTTGAGGACAGGAGTTTGCTAGCCCCTAATTTACATTAAGTTCAAGATCAGTATTTAGTTTTGTTACACAAAATGAGAAGATCTGTAACTTCACTTGAAATGGATCTAATAGAATTATCATTGACTTTCTTAATAAGAAAGGTAAAATACTGTTCTGTCATGGGCCAGCCAATACTTTATATGTATGTAAGTATACTCATACATTTAATAAGCACACCACCACTATAATAGTACATTATATAGAGAAAAACTGAGTCTCCAGTGGCTTGCCCTGAACCTTATTCAATGAGATTTTTTAAATTAAAATACTAAAATAATTTGATTATATGTGGCAAAAACATTTCCATATCCCTAAATCCAAGTCTGAAAGATGAATAACAATAAAAAAAAAGTGTTTTTTCCTATTCTCACCCACTCAATACCACACAACAGAGAATGCTTCTGTGACAGCTGCTCATCAAAATCTGTGGGGATTCCTTCCACCAGGGACCCAACTAACTCTGCGACAGATTCTCTGGCCAAGTGCCCTCCTGTGCTATTCAGTTCTGATACTACCTGGTGGGATCAGATCCCACAGGCTGAGAGCTTAGTCTCACAAGAATGGCCCGGACTGAAGATGCCATTGTAAATAGTAGACTGTCACCTATTCTTTTGACAGAATGGCTATAGTTCTAGGTTCCCAAGACTCTCTCCTCACATTTGATTAATTTGCTAGAGCAGCTCACAGAACTTAGGCAACACTTTACTCACACGCACTCGTTTATTATAAAGGATATTACAAAGGATAGAGATAAACAGCCAGATAGAAGAGATAAACAGGGCAAGGATGTAGGAAGGGATGCAGAGCTACCATGCCCTCTCTCTAGGTACCACATTCTTCAGGAACCTCCATATGTTCAACTATCCAGAAATTTGTCCAAACTCTGCCCATCTGTGGTTTTACTGAGGCTTCATGACATAGGCAGGATTGTTTATATCACTGACCACAGATGATCAACTCAACCTCCCCTCCCAGGATGCGGAGGAGGCTGAAAGTCCCAGCCCTCAAATCAGCCTTGGTCTCTACAGTGACCAGCCCCATCCAGAAGCTTTGTAGGGTCCTCCAGCCACCAGTCATCTCGGTAGTACATAAGAGACACTCTTTTGTTAGTTCAAGAATTAACCTAGAAGGTAACACACATGCACAGAAAATCAATGCGAGTCAACTCCCTGTATAGCTATCCTTATCTCAACCAGCAAAAACCCTTGTTCCTTCCTATTATTGCTTATACTCTCTCTTCAACAAAATTAGAGATAAGGGTAAAATAGTTTCTGCCGGGTAGCGAGGGGTAAGGGGGGGTAAGGGAGGGAATGGGGAAAGTGGGGAGAAATGACCCAAACATTTTATGCACATATGAATACAATAAAATTTTTTTTTAAAAATTAATAATAATAATAAAAAAAGAGAAACTCTTTTTTCTCCAGTGACTCCAAGGGTTTTAGGAAACTGGACAAAGACCAAATACGTTATTTTACAACGTCACACTAAGGAACTGCAAAGGTTTCATAAATATATCAAGTCCACTGCCCCTCTAGGAATGGAAGAAGATGAGGTATGACTTAAAGAACAGTCAAACATACTTTCCAAGTGATCTGTAGGCAACTCTAAAGGCAAACCACACAAAAACAAGTGCAGTGAGGAAGGGAAGGGGGAAACTTATTTCTGTTATATATCAGTTATTCAATGGAAATAAATGTATGAATTATTGTATTTATAATTGTTCATCCAACCAATTTTCCAAGTAATAAGTATGAGGCAGAAAATTCATATTTTTGAAGTTATCTTCAGTCCTGACAATTTGAGAATCATTGCTTTAGAAAAATATTAGCTAAAGCTATAAATTCGCAAAGGCACCTAATACTCATAAGACATCATTAAAAGAATATCTGTTTTACACAGATGGGTAAAATACATTCTACAATTTTATTCTTCTCCTTTAAAAATATCTTGGAAAAAAAAAAACTAAAGTATAGTAAGTTGCCACCTTGAAACCCTTGAAGGTGAGGTCAAAGCTCCTAGAGATCTCAATGAAAACAAAGACCCAAATGATAATAAGCTTCAGATGCAGCAAAGAAACTTAGCCTGCTTTTTTTCTTACACTTCTCTTTACAACCCCTGTAATGAAAAGAGAGCAAGTTATACGTGGGAAGAGATGAGAATAGGGTGCATCAATTTAACCTTCTGCATGCCCTACAGCCTCAGTAGCACCTGGAAGAAATGGTAAAGTGTGCAAACCGATTAACTCTATTATCTGTTCATAGGAATCTATTATTCTTTTCACAGGAATGTCTAAAGTCATTAATATATAACTCCAAGTATGTGCCTTTGCCCTGCTAAATTCAAATGTGCCTAATAAACTGCTTAGTCCTAAGCTATGATGCATCAAGGAAGACAATAACAAAAGCACAGAGAAGAGCACTAGTCTGAAAGTTGACACACCTAAGTTTCAACCCCAGCTCCACCTCAATGTATGTGGCCCTCAGTCAGATGATACCTAAACTGCCTTCCCATTCTTATTCTATAAGAACCAAAAAAGAATACCTCTAAGATTTCCTTGCATTCATGTATTCTTATGTCTGTAACTACTGTCACATACATATTCACTTTGGAATCTAACAATCCAATGAGGTAAAAAAGTATGCAATACCATGCTCTGCTTAGAAACGAATAAAGCCAAGGTCAATGGGTACTGTTCATGTCTAAATAAGTGGAGAATCTAAGAGTTAAAGTGAATTCTCATAATTCATAGCCTGTAAACCTCATAGTAACATCTCATTTAATTTTTGCCACCAAATAATGAAAAGGCTAAGGCCTAATAAATGAAAACCATTTTACAGCATATAACAAAATACTTTATAATATAGGTTGGAAACAGAGATGATATCAGGATACAGAAGATCTTGCTTTAAGTTTCTGTTCAACCACTTACTAGGTTTTATTAGTGGGCATATCATAACCTTTCAAAACTTTAGTTTTCGCACAATCTCATAAATATTTTTAGAGAATTAAATATAACAATAATCATAAGTATGCTTTATAAACTGAAAGGATTTGTACATTGTTACTGTTAATATACACCTACAACTTCCTTACCTCAACAGTTACAATCAATAGAAATTCAAAGGGCTGACAGAACCACCTAGCAAGCATGAGGCCCTTGTTTAAATGCCAGTACCACCAAAAAACAAAAAAAAAAAAAAAAAAGAAATTCAAACTATAGGCCAGGCTATGGTCCCAAATGGAAAGTTACCAGAGTCTTTCACACATATATTTAATATGGATTTAAAACATGGCTGAACAATTACAGCCTTGAGCCATATTAACAAATACAAAATATTAACATATTGATACATCTACATTCAAATGATAACAATAGTTTTAGGTCACCTGAGTGGCATAGGACACTGCCTCAATGCCTTCATGTCTCAGCAAAGTATTCCTGGCTTTAATCTGTTTCCTTAATGACTTCTTCTCAGTTTTACTGAGTTTGAAATTATTTTGATGATGGATGTCCATACCAACACTAAAAAAAAAAAAAGTAAGTAAGGTCAATCTTAGTGTTACTCATATATTCTATAGTTTATAAAAAGTTCTATATGACTTTTTTAAATCCTTAGTTTACCTTTCATCAACCCAGAAAGGTGAGAACAGACATGGAAAATAAACAATAAATAAATAAAGACAAGGTAACAAAGAATTAAGAACATTCAATAACATCTCTGAGGATTCTAAGAAATGTTGCAAATGTGTTAGCTCCATTAAAACACTGTTTTACCCATACACAATATATCCTATTGTTTATTAAGTTCTACCTAAAACATATCAAAGATGAATTTCACAATTATAATATAAGGTAAGGCAAGAAGGAAGAGGTAAAAGAGGAGAGGAACAATGAAAAAATTCATGAAGAACATAAAGTTTGATTTCACTGATAATAAAGTTCAAAATTCAAAAAGAAGCCATGTATTGTTTAGAAATAAATATGTAGTAAAGCTAAAAGCAAGGAAATAATAAACGCAAGATTCAGGAGCAAGGTAATTTCTGTATGGGAGAAGAAGAGAAATCTGATATGAGAATGATACACAGGAGCATCAAAAATATTTCTTAACCTACTCAGAAGGTATAGGTGTTTATTATTTTTAAAACTATACATATTATATATTCTATACTTATAATTTTTAAATAACAGAAATAAAAGCCCCACAAGGTTGTTTCCCCTTTGTTGAAATGTCAGTCATCAAGTAGTCACTAAAAGGCTTTTATAATCACTCCGAACAGCAGCCTCTATCATGCTTTATCTCAGCAGTCAATTTGATTGTTCACAGAATTTATCACAATTTATGATGACTCATCTGTCAGCTTAACTCCCCCATCGTGTTGTAAACTCCAAGAAAACAGAAACGCCAGCATACAGCAAGAACTCAGTACATACTGGTGGAAGGGAGGGATTAGTGAATGTCAAATGAGTGAACACACATATACCTATTATGATCTCAGCTGCAGCATATACATAACATACAGCATGTGCTTTCAAAAAGTTTGTGTTAGTTGAGGAAAACAAATCCTAAACAATAAAAAGATCTGTCACATTTTATACAATTAAGTGGTAGTGGTTCAGCCCTTCTATGTGACATGAATTAGAGACAAAGAAACAAGATCGAAGTTAACTGTAAAAGGTGGGAAGACTTCAAATCAGAAGGAAAATCCAGCTCAGTACTAAAAAATAAGAACACTCAGAGTCACATGAAAAAGAAGGCATTCAGTCAGGTGGGACAGAGCAGAAGCTAAAGCAGAAATGGATGTGTCTAGCAAAGACAGTGAGTGTAGGCAGAATTTTTTTCAGAACAGAGAAAGTTTGCCCTCCCCCCAATCCCATTCTGTACTCAAAGTCTTCAAAGTTAACAGCATAATGGCAGGAACAGCATAACAATGGCTCACGAACACTGTCAAAACTCTACTCATCTTAAAGATAGAAGAAAAATGACAAGTCTATTCAAATGCCAGCAGTCCAGCTTCCTAGTACACAGCTTCCTAGTGTTAGGAGGTGAGCCAAGTAAGGCAGGCTGGTAGGAAACCATAATAGGGAGGTTAGAGATGAGAAGACCTGTAATCAATAACCCAAGCTGGAAGTAGAAATGCTGGCCTGATCTACACAGGAGGCATAGAAGGAAAGAAAACAAAGAGAGGGTGAAAGAAATGTTCAGGTTAGAATCAATAGGTCTTTGGTAACTACTCAGATGTGGAACAGAGGAATGAAAGATCACTCAACTAACAGGGTAGAGCCTGAGTGATTAAAAGACTAGATATAGTTTCGAAACTAGAAAAGCCAGGAGGAAAGTTAGGAAGAGCCATTCAGTACAGGAAATAATGAGACAGATTTAGGTTACTAACAGGGTAGAGCCTAAGTGCTTGAGAGACTGGTGATGTTATTTCAAAACTGGAAAGTCAAGGGGAAGGTTGGAAGTGCTGCTCAGTAAGAAAGGAAATAAGTCACATTTGGGATATGATCTGTTTAAGGTAGTGGTGAGACATACAGTTGTGATGTCTGGCTATGAAGTGGCCCTCAGGAAAAGGACTGACGTTAGAAAGCTTTGGGAATTATCCTTAGTGAAGGGAATAATTAAGTATTTCTAACTCTGCACAAATTACATTGCTCTAAGATCTGTCTCCTTCCATTGTACTGTTAAGTTCTTTGAGGATAAGGATTAAACTATACTTTTCTTAGTTACCCCAGAACCTCAATCAGTGCTATGAGGCAGTACAACATATTGTGTAGGAGTCCAGGTTCCAGGTTCAATTCTCAGCCCCACCGGGATGTTAGTTACATAACTCTATGCTTCAACTTACAGAAACGCGAATAGGGATAGTAACACTGGTCCCTCTCACAGTTTTGTTAGGAAAATTACATTCATTATTCCACTGCTGTTAATTGTCAGAAGAGCCCGTTCAGAAGGGGATAACAACCAAGGAACTATTTTTAAGCCATTCCAAGATCTCCATCTTTGAAACAACAACTTACAATATGTCATAGAGAACAAAGGATGGGTACAATACAGAATTTCTTTTGTGAATATTTCACATGAGCCTTTAACTGCAAGGTGGAGGAAACGAAAAAAGAATAGATGCTGAATATATCATTTTAAAAGTATGCCACTAAGAGACAGTACCAGTAGATGGAGCCTCATAACCATGTTTTTGCCATCACATGTTACCATGTGAAGTCGATATTTACTAGGATGCTAGCCATGTGCTAGGTCCAGTTCAACTACCTCCAACCTGAGCATATTCTCTGTAGGATAATGAGAGTTTGGAGATTATACACGGTCTGCTACTTGTCTGCTAGCAAGTTTAACCCTCAATACAGCCAACTGGATACTGCCCCAAGTGGCAACAGTATGTGTGTCCATGCCCTCCCTGAACAATAGAGAAGTTAGCAGGCAGTGTAGACAAAAGTTCCTGTGCCTGTTTGTAAATTATACTTAATGAATAGTAAAGATTAGAATAACCTAAATTACTATTAAATGAGGTCTGATGTTAAAGTACAACACAGGAATACAGAGTATACATTTAAATAAATCTTTTAAAGACACAAGAAATTGGTGATATGAGTTGTTTCCAGGGAAGAGAAATGAGTACATGAGCACAGGAATGAGAGCGCTCCTTTTTTTTTTTTTTTCAGTGCTGGGGCTTGAACTCGGGGCCTACACCAGCCCTTTTTTGTGGTGGGTTTCTTCAAGATAGAGTCGCTCGAACTATCTGCCTAGAATGGCTGTGAACCATGATCCTCCTGATCTCTGCCTCCTGAGTAGCTAGGATTACAAGCATGAGCCACCAGGGCCCAGTTTTTCAGGACTTTTGAAGTTAATGCTATTCAAATTTCATTACCTATTAGAAAACCTATTTTTAAAAAGGTTTTAAATAATTAGAAAAAAGCACCTCCTCATTTATTATCCCTTTTTGACTCACTGAAGTACATTTTCTATATATTTTCTTATACCCATTAGTTTCTTCTGTTCTATAACTTACAGAAAGTTCACTCCATCAAATAAGGATTTTGTCTGTATTACTCACTCAGCACCTAATAAGAATCTAATACCTGGTTGTCACACATCAAACACTTGTTTAAAAAACCTAAGAAGTATTTGCCATCTTACCTCCCAGTGCTCTCCTCCTCCAGAATTACGAGTTTGGCAACCTTCTTTCAGGTTTTCATTAACACCTGCTTTGTATCCCTATCCCTGAAGTCCTCAAATTCTATTACAATTACCTGTTTCGGTGCTAGGCTCAGAAGACTGTCATCTATCTGAGGACACAGCCTTGATACCTGGCATACGGCTGGCAAGACATATTCAATGTAATCGTTGAAAAAAAAAAAAAAAAACCAGACTGACACCACCCCACCCAAGAGCTACAGGGCCGTTCAAACAACCGCACGAGAACGCGCAGCTGTACAGGCGATCGGGTCACCAGCAATGCCTTTACTCCACTGGCTTGACACCAGCCAGCAAAGCCCTAGAAGCCCCAGATTAACTCGCCCCAAATTGTAGACCCCACGTGAGCACCCGTCGCAGACACAAACACGTGCACATTGCACACTAATAAAACCACGCAACTCACAGACACCCTACCGCCCAAACGGCGCACCCGGGCGCCGCCTCGATCACCCCACCCTGGGGTTCTGAACCCCACGATGGCGAGGCGGCTAGAGAAGACCGGAAGAAGCTGGCAGGAGGAAGCCGGGATTTGCGGCCTGTGAGGCCCACCAAACACCTTTGCGTCTGCTCAGGAGAGGTTCTCACCACTCGCTGCTGTCTCCTTCGCCAACCTCTCTGCTCCAGCCCCAGAAACCTACAGCGAGAATTGTCACACACCCCTCACCTGGGCGCAGCCATATTGGAGACAGCTGTACTACATTTCCCATGAGCCCGCGCGGCAACCCTAGTGCTCCCACCATCCCCTTCGCCTCCCAAGTGTCTGAAACAGTGGCAATTCCCTTGTTTTACTTGGGTGAGCGGTGGTCGCTGGGAGTGTAGCTTGTTTTTCACGAGTCGCTCCCCAAAAAGACAAGGCCCAACTAGTTGTGCCCTTCGCATCCATCCATAATCGTTTCCCCCACCCTGGGCTCTTCGTGTACCTTTCGTCCTGAATCTTATTAAAGGTATGGGCGATGATACTGGGATCTGAAAGATACCATCACATGGTCACGAGGGAAGGAGGTGACTATATATGAACGTGCCAGGGGTCTAGTGAGTAATACAGAATAATAGGGAGGTAAATGGAGGAATGTAGGAGGCAAGACAGGAAAGGTGGGCTGCCACCAAGTAACTGGAAGAGCTAACACCGTTTTATTTATAGGCCTAAGGGGGTCCCAGAAAGATTAGAGAAATGAAGTGACATGACCAGAGCTTCTTGGGAAGGTGAAAGGAGAGACTGGAAGTGAGATGACTGTTGCAGTGGTAAAGTGAAAAGTGAGGAGATAATAACTGGAAATATGTACAGCAGTGACAGAGGGAAAG